TATCTTTTAGTGGGTACATCTGTAGATCCTCAGATGTAATGTACTGCCTTAGAAATGTACCATTTCTTACAGTATAAACTTCAGGTTGTTTTTACACTTTTGGTTCAGAGACATTCCAAAACACTTTCATTTCTAGTCTCAACTGTTAATTCCAGCTTATTAAATAATTTCCTGCTATTTAATGATGACTTGTTCCACTGTTATTTGTTATGATCAGCTTTTCTATAGTGTCTTATTTATTCATCAGAACAAGACTATATTACCATTATTTCTTCTCTGTTAGTCAGTACGGGATAAAGAATCTGCTAATTATCACAGCCGGAACACAAGGTCATTAGTCGTATTTACTATCCAAACTACTCTGAGCAGCTAAATTCTCTCATAAATAACAGTGTCCTGTAATATTTGTCTAAAATTAGAAAGGTCTTTTTCAGCATCCAAATTTATCAGGGCCATCAGCAACTGACCTCTAGTTTGACTTCCAGTTTCTTTAATTGCCCTTTTCTGGGCATGAAATGACATGAAACCCAAGGATATTCTGTTTTATCCAAACACTGGTTTTGTATTTCCTGATATGTTATCACATCATCAGCATGTTATGACATCCAACCATTTTTACTTTTATTTTGCCTTTCCTGTGTAGCTCATGCTCTGTCTAGTCATGCTTGCTAAAGCAAGCCTACCTGGCCATTACTCTTATCAGTACAGTCTTTTCCATCTTCTTGCAATCATACCTTTGCACTCTCGTATTTCCTTCTCCATTGCTGTATTTCTGATTTTCCCAGTTTTCCTCTTCCAGTGAATTAAAACCACACATAGAGATTGCATATGATTTCCCTGATACTGAAGGCTTGCATTAGTAATCTTGGCATTCTTAGCCCCTCAGTATTTAAGTGGAATGTAGTCATCAAGAAAAATTTTCAAAGAATATATAAATGTTAAAAACCCCAGTGCTTAACACTGCTTTTGTTCATTGTTTTATTTTCAATATCTCGTGCCTTTTCAATTTTTATTCTCTATGGATCAAAATCATCTGTGCCTGCACTGAAGTTCAGTGCTTTGTTTCAGTATGTTCTAGCATGAATCTGATACCATTATTTTCCTGGCAGAAAGTACAGTCAGAAGATTTCTCCCTGCTCTGTTCATGCTCAGGCCTGCACATTGCAACCTTTCTTCTGGCAGGCAGCCTACCTTGCTCTTCTCTCCATGTGCTCTGGTGTCTCTTTCTCTTGTTAAAGGGTTCCTTCAGGAAAGGTTCAGGCTTGTCTTCCCCTGGTGCTAGAACATATCTATTGTGTCCTTCTGTCCTGCCTTCTTGTTGAAGATAATTGTGCATCTTTTTTTCTATCCTGCATCTTCTGTGTATCATCCTCATTCCCTCTTCAGAACCACTCCCTGGCTCTCATCGTCTCTTTTACTTCACTAAAACATCTGACGTCTCTTTTTCTTCTTCTCTCCTTGATTGTTTGCTTTCTTCCTTTCCTAAGGTCTCCAGGAAAGACTCCTCTTTCAAACTTTTCTACTGCATTAAGCCATCTTTTCCAGAGGATCACTTTTCCCTTTTTTTCCTCCTGTGTTATCCAGCTGGTTTTATACAACCTTTTTATCTGCTTCTCCATTCTATTCTCTATTCCTCCATTACATTCATCTGCATCTTTAGCTCCTGGATAGTCTTTCCCATGAGCTGTATCCTGGTGATATTTCCTATGAAGTCAAAAGGCCAGTGAAGGAGAAGTAATGTCTTAAAACATCTATAACCAGTCAGGCTTTTTCCCCCCCTTCAACTTTGGGTTATCACCATCATTGATCCCTCAGTAACCATTGGTATCATATTATCTTCTAAATATCTGACTTAGAGATAGAGATAAAAGGATTAGCCTCTCTATTTACTTATGAAAAAGCACTCAGTGTTTTGCTCGTGTTTTCTGAGATTCTTTACTCACTGGAAGGTCGTTTTTTTAAGCCTTTTGCCTCAGTCAGAGAAACTTTATGTAATCAGAGGAAAGTCAGTTGTGTTCACAGAGGGGAACATCTTACTTAACACCACCTGCCAAGCTGCTTGCCTAGGCACAACTCAGAGCCACCACAAATGGTCTCTGAGTGTAGATCAGAGAGCACACAATATGCAGCCACCGTCGTATAGAAAAGAGAGATGCATTCATTCGTAATAAATGAGAATTTCTTCCTTGTTGTCCTGGTTTCGGCTGGGATATCCTAGTGCTGTGTTTTGGATTTAGTATGAGAAGAATGTTGATAACACACTGATGTTTTCAGTTGTTGCTAAGTACCCTGCCAGTCAAGGACATTCAGCTTAAGAAAACAAAACAAAACAAAACAAAACAAGCATTAGGAGGGAGCACAGCCAGGACAGCCAGCCCAGCTGGCCAACGGGGTATTCCATGCCATGTGAAGTCATGCGCAGTATATGAATGGTAGGTGTGATCCAGGAAGTAGCGATCACTACTTGGTTATTGGTCAGCGTGGGTGATGAGCAATTGCATTGTGCATCACTCATTTTGTATATTCTATCATTATCATGATTATTTTTCCCTTTTCTGTTCTATTAAACTGTCTTTATCTCAACCCATGAGTTTTTCTCACTCTTACCGTTCCGATTCTCTCCCCGTCCCACTGGGTGGAGGGGGAGTGAGCGAGCGGCTGCGTGGTATTTGGCTGCCTGCCAGGTTAAACCATGACACTTGTCCAGAATCTGTCATCTGTCAAAAAAACTCTTATTTTTTTTCCTGTGTGCTTAGCAGAGGCAACAGGTTTGAGACTTCCTTAGACAAATTTGTTATGCCAGTAAACAATTGTAGATCCATCTGTAGATGTGGGGAATCTTTTACTATAAAACATAAAGTTTCCTTAACTTTTAATAATTTTATCCTAGGCCTTCATTCTAGATGTTTGCAGAGCAGTGAGTTGAGTGTGTGATGAAAAGCAACTAAGATAAGGGTTTGCTGGATCAGCCCTAGGACCATAATATATTGTACTGTCAATCTTTATTTAATATCTCCTCTTCAATAAAATCCTTGAGAAAATGTGCCTTCAGTTGCTTAGCTCCTTAAGTGTGAAAGTCCATGCTTCTTTCAAAACCAGTTCCCCCTTTTTTCATAGCAAGCTGAAATGTCTATTGTCCTCAGTCTCCATATTGCCCAGAACTTAGCTGTAGTAAACTGTTTCGTTACTCCTTTAAATTTTCAGTGTATCACCCAGGGTTATTCTAGAGAAAAGCTTTTTATAAATTAATTTTGCACTGTATTGTCACAGCATCCCATATTTTTTCCTTAAATATAAGCCTTATAAAGTATTTAGCCCCATAGAATTCCTCCTACCAAAGGAAAGTCTAATGCACAGAGACATACAGAGACTGAATTAGCAAAGCTATGATGGGCAGGTACTTTCAAGTAACTGAATTATAATCAGAAAAGTTGGTTTCCAGAGATAGTCTCTGGGAGCATAGAGAGAAAGTTAATTTTAATAAGTCTATTAAGATAATTTGTAAAGTTTGTATTTTAAAAGAAATGTTAGAAATATTGATTTATATATTACTGATTATTCCATTTCCAGTCTTATCCAAATAACAAGCAAAAGACTACTTATTACAATTCAGCATTCAGCTTTTGTTAAAATAGCTTTTGCTATTTAAAAAAAAAAAAAATCCATTAAGGTTTTGCCTCCCTTCCCTTGCAAAACTCTATTTTTATTGAACTTTCTGATTAGAGTATGAAATTGTTAAATAATAAAAACATCACCATCAGTCTCCCAGTATCATTTTCCATTGAGGAACAGAGAAGTCAACTGTAAAAATGTCCAAGTTGTACTGGGCAATTTTCACATTTTAAAATGTAATTGTTTTTATAATAATATGAATACTTGGTAATGCTGATCCAAACAGTGGAACACAAACAAATTACTAGAACTGCTTTTAGCAAAAACAGCTTTTCCAACCTCTGTAATTACTATGATAGAATAGTAGTAGATAATCTGTGCTACATCATGGCTCCAAAATTATACATTTATTGTGGGCTAATATGGAATAACATTTAATGTTTTCCAGCTTCACATGAAATACCATTATCTTCACACTACATTTTTGTAGAGATAGTATGAAATTCCTCCCATCTGCACTAGGACTGTACTTATTTTATCCTCTTAACAGGAGACAGGGATAACTGAAAGATAGTCTAGTAAAGAAGAACTGAAGTACATGACTTACTTCCAGTAATGGAACTGCTCAAAATATTCCTGTAGATAACATTTATTTATCTTTTGTGTGTATGGAAATTTCCATACACTGGCTCCTGTCTATACAGAACGACTTGTTTTACTATTACTAGTACAATTAGTCTTTTTTTTTTTCCCCCACAAAATACTGTTGAGAGTTATATCAAGTTGACAGAAATTTTCAAGAAATATTTTTCATTGTTCTTCTGAACTATTCCTATAATTCACACTGAATATTTGGACATTAACATAAATCCTTTTATACTAATGAACTAAAAAAGAGAGAAAACAATAGAAAAAATGCAATAAAATTGCATTCTGTGCACTGTTAGTATACATTAACCAGGAAATGAACATTCATAAGTGAATTTATTTAGTCTTTGAGATGTTGTCTGATTAACCCATCAAAAAAAGTATCATGAACCTCAGAAACATTAGAAATATTAGCCTTTTTTTGCTCATTGTTAGAGCAGCCCAGCTTAAAGTTAAGACTACAGATTTCATATTAGGGATGAACCTTCATTAAAAGAGGCTTTTTTTTGGTTAGGACTGGTGTGACTTGAAGTCTATTCCCAAACTTTGTCACTTGCTTTCTGGGTAACCTTGGCAAGTTAGTTCACCTCCTTCTCTGCAAAAGATGTTTAATGTTACTTAGCACTTCTGCAAAGAATTTTGAAATTTGAGATTGAAAAAGTATGGTATAATAGGGCACATTACATAAAAATAGCTTAATATAGTTCATAATATACAAGTTAACTTCATGTTGAACTGACCTCCTTCAGCTGAGCATATGACCACAATAGGGCTAAAGGGACCATCTCCTTTGTTGTTGTAAACTCCAACTTTCACCTCAAAAGGAGTCAGAGGTGGCACACTTTCATCTCTGTAGATGAACTTTGAAGCATCTGAAGATGTCACCATTTTTTCCTTCCAGCCACGTGTTCCATTGGGTCTGAAGGCTACAATATATCCAAATCCTTCTCCATTCTGAAACTCTTCTGACACTGGCTAAAAAATAAAGTTCAGGTAATGATCAGACGTGGTTTTACTAATTTAGAAAGCAGTCACTCAGTGGCTGACCATAATCTGGCTGCTTGTGTCAGGGTGATCCCTTACAGTTGCCCTATAGGATTTTAGTTATCATGCCTGGGAACATATAGGGACAATTGCTTCTGAAGAGGAACCTTGTAAGAGAGTTTCTTCACTTAATCACCATAACTAGGTCACTGTCCTAGGATTAAATAAGCTCCTGGGCTCAGAAAGATGTTTCCTTCTATATCTCCCACTTTGTGGTTAACGCTTTAACCAGTGGTCTACTAGTGGAATAGCCCTTTCCAGTGACATTTTTAAAAAGATAGAGCAACATATTGTTACGTGCTTCTAAAATATTATGCGAGTGACACTTACTACAGTGGGACTTTCTTAGGTTTTCAGTGCCAGCTCGTCTAATTTCTGTATCCAAATGGGGTGTCAAGTCTTAGAGGTTTAAGTCTAGGGTTCAACTTGAGACTTCGGATATAATGTTCTAACTCTCAAATTGAGTCTTGTTGAAAAAAAAAATCTCGTTTGCTTTTCTCTTCTCAGAGGATCTGTGAAATTAGCCGCTTAAATTGGGATACATCTGCCATAAGCAGGCAGTCAGCAAAGGGATTTATCTATTGAGAGGCTGAGCACTGCAAAAGCTAAACCTTACATGTCCAGCTCAAGGAACGGAATTTTTCATGCTAATTTACTGCCTACATTTCTTCTAAAGTTAATGGACTAGTTTAGGAATTAGGTTATGTTTAACAGCTGTCAGTGTATTAGGCCTATGGGAAATGCCAAAAAAACGGGTGTCTAAACTCCTTCTCTTGAAGTGCCCACCCTAGATCTGCAGCTAATGAACATGTGAATCAGAGCAGGGGCACAGGGGACACCAAATCCTCTCCCCTCCACATCGCAAGTGCATGTCTTATCACCAGGCATCTCACTTGCAGACACCATTTTCTATCCATCCTTCTGAAGCTGTGCATTGCGCATCGAAGAAAAAAAGTCATGACTCCAAAGGCAGAGGAGGCAAAAACAAGACAGACTTTGTAATCTAGTGGTTTGAGTTGGAAAGGAGGAGCTTTGCATCTCTTTGCAATACTTATGGAGTTGGTAGTAGACAGTCGCTATAAAAAAAGCCAGAAATACAAGAGAAGTAGCAGAACCCTTGGATTTCACTACAAAGGCTAAATACACAGTCTGTGAATTAAAGTTTTGTTAATAAAATTTTGTTTGAACCTGCTGAGCGTAGTTCAGGAACCTAGGTAGGTTAGTCTTTTCCTGAATTCCCAGACACCCATATACCATCTCAGTATCTCTTCAGACTTCAAAGTACTTTGTCGAATTCCTATTGCCTGTGTAAGTCCAATAAGACTTTTTTGGATCCTGCAAAAGCACAGACTGACTACGCTGGAGCTATGCTAACTTACACTGTGGTTGTACCTTATGGAAATGCAGTGGCTACACCAGACAGCACAGTAGTCTATTATCCAACGTGTTAGGATTAGTTCTTTAGCAGAAATTTCAACACTTAATTTAATTGCATGTTTTGGTATGTTTTGTTCTATCTTTTTATGATTTCTTGAAGAGACAGTGACTATAATTAGAAATGGTAGCAATCTTTCAAACAATTAAAAAATGTAAATATGCCCACTTCACAATTTATATTCGACACAGAGGAAATACCATGTTGTTTTTTGTAATCTTAATTTGATTAATGACTTTATGCAGTTTAAGAGGTATGTGAAACAATAGTGTGCTGAAAGTATTAACATCAGGAAGAACAGCACTAGGTGTTGATGGAAACAACAAGTTAATCAGAAACAAGGGAGAAGGATCGACGCCTTCTGCCTTAATGGCAGTTTGCACTCCTTAGCTATACAGGTGTTGATGGAAACAACAAGTTAATCAGAAACAAGGGAGAAGGATCGACGCCTTCTGCCTTAATGGCAGTTTGCACTACTCCTTAGCTATAAGTGAAGAAGCATCAGCTGGCTTTTGTGGAAAAAAAGTCGATGTATATTGAAAGTTATGTGATGGCAATTGCTAATTCTTAACTGTCTGTTGTATCTGTACTGCAGGATGGGACACCCATGGGTTTCTGGTTTCTTTTGGAAGAAAACTTCGACCCTTGACAGAGGGGGAGGTATAACACACTCCAGTAGTCCCCCACTCCAGTCACCTGGGGAACATTATAAACACACGTAATATGAATACTACATACTAATATATCATGTTAGGGAGTGGGATTAAGCCAGTTTACATCAGATACAGTTCTAGCCACCTGATGTTTTTGTTTGGGATTCAGCAAATTCTCTCCCAATAGGAGAGATGCTGCTGTTTATAGTTATAGACTATAAAGCAAACTGAAATCAGCTCTGTCTCAGCTGTCTCAGGTAGCTGGTGTCAGAGAAGGCAGACACACCAACAAAAGACAGCCTCTTCAAACGTCCTAAAATTTGCATTTTAAGCAGTTAGTCAGAATTCTGTGTGTCTCTTACCATCTGAATGTCTCCCCAAGTTGACTAGGCTAAAACTTTTTTCATTAAAACCCCATGTCTTTATTAGATGGAATTTTCCTTGGTTTTCTATATATATATGTGTGTGTGTGTGTGTATTTTCTGAATCTGAAACTCTTCATGATGAATCTACAAGTTTTGAAAACTCCTCAAGAAAAGTCTCTGTTCTACTGTGTTATTTATGATTAGCAGAGAAAGCAATCCCCACTCCTCCAGTTGCCCACTGGCACGGTCATACATCTGTGTGGCATCTTGCATCACAAATATCTTCTCAAAATAAAGGTCTATTTCAGGTCTTTAGTTTTATATTTTTTATGAAATACTTAAACAAAAATAGTTCTTTCTTAATTCAAGACTAAAAAAAGTTACAAGGTTTTCCTTTTCTTCCCTTAGCTATTATTTCACCTCATGTAGCATTTACATAAGATCCAGAAAAGTCAAATCAACCCAAGCGGTAGATCAGGAAGAAGAGACTGATGAATTAGCACAACTTTAGAGCTGCTGCTCATGGGTTAGATTCACCATAAAGCCCTCTACTCAAACCACATGAAAATGCACATTACTTTGAAACTTTAGAACATATTTAAAGAACAGTATTTTGTTATCATGTCTTGCCAAGATTTGCTGTAAGGAAACCCCAGTACAGTACTCTCTACTTTGGCCTCAAAGAAGTAAACATGAAACAAAACCTTTAATAAGAAAAGTCCCTTACCTCCCATGCTATTACTAATTCATGTCGCCTTCCACTTCTGCCACTTACATTAGCTGGGGGTGTTTTTGGAACTGTGAGCAAAAAGGAAAAAAAAGAAAAACCAAACCAGAATGTCCAAGTTATTGAAGTTTTCCCCATAGTAATAAATTGCTGCAGAAGACATTACGCTGTTAAATCAGAACAGAAATAACAAACATAGCACTCTGGAAAATTTGCTCAAGTTTCATTTCAGAGAATTCCGCAGTCAAGCTGGTAAACTCAAACAAAGCACAAGATGAGAAGAAAAATAATATTGGAATAAAAAGCTGCTTAAGCACGATGTCTTCTGCAGATTAGTCAAAATTTCAATGTACAGATCATCTAAGAGATAAAACAAGAATTATCTTGTTAACATTTGTATTTTTCAAATAGACAACTCAAAATAAAATGACACATTTCAGACTTCAGGTAAAATCTTAGGACCTAAATAATATGTCTGTAATATTTTCCAGACTGTTAGTGATTTAGAATGTTTTAGTTCTTGTAAATCTATTCTTTTATGCTTCACCAGGGAGCCAATTTTCAGAAATTTTAAAGTAACCATCCTTAAACACCCCTTATCACTTCTTGCAAAATGCTGGAAGCAGTACTACCCACAGTTCTTTAAAAATTGAGACCACCATTATGGCTTTAAAAGCACATATGAGCCACTGATGCAATTCTTTAAAAGAAATTATAACTATCATCATCAGTGTGAATTGGTGTGCTGGTTTTGGCTGGGATAGAGTTAATTTCTTCACAGTAGCTAGTATGGGGCTGTGTTTTGGATTTCTGCTGAAAACAGTGTTGATAACACAGAGATGTTTTCATTACTGCTGAGCAGTGCTTACACAGAGTCAAGGCCTTTTCTGCTTCTCACCCCACCCCACCAGCGAGGAGGCTGGGGGTGCACAAGAAGCTGTGAGGCGACACAGCCGGGACAGCTGACCCCAGCTGACCAAAGGGATATCCATACCATATGAAGTCATGCTCAGCATATAAAGCTGGGGGAAGAAGAAGGAAGGGGGGGACATTCAGAGTGATGGTGTTTGTCTTCCCAAGTCACCGTTACGCGCGATGGAGCCCTGCTTTCCTGGAGATGGCTGAACACCTGCCTGCCGATGGGAAGTAGGGAATGAATTCCTTGTTTTGCTTCGCTTGCGTGCGTGGCTTTTGCTTTCCCTATTAAACTGTCTTTATCTCAACCCACAAGTTTTCTCACTTCACTCTTCTGATTCTCTCCCCCATCCCATTGGTGGGGGAGGGATTGAACGAGCGGCTGTGTGGGGCTTAGTTGCTGGCTGGGGTTAAACCACAACAATTGGGTTGTCATCTTTTGTAAAACTTCAGAAATCTTAATTGTTCCATTGGAATTGTATAATTTTTTAATCTTACTTAGTACCTCTAATGAAGCTCCTAAAATGACTAATGTCTTGAGTTTATTTACTTTGAGCAGGTAACGCTTGTATTCTTTATTTGATTAAATATGTCCCAAGATACAAACTTTCTCTTTTCTTTCTTACCGCAGTACATAGGTAATTGGTAGAAGTGTACTGTGAGGCATTAACTGTTAAGGCCTTACTGCATGCTGTTTAGTTTATTTATTGAATAGCACTGTACTTTTGAACTGTACAAAGAAAAATACATTTAAGTAAATGTACACAGTCCTCTCTATTTCCCGTGTTGATCATTAACAGCTTAAGTTCAATTAAACTGCAGTTCTTACTAGATCCTGGAAGTTCACATAAAATTTCAGCATTCATTTATGTAATGTCTTTTTGAACTCTGAACTCCTCTTTAAAGAACATAAGCCCAATTCTGTTTTTTTTTCATAAATAATGCAAACCCACAAAGCTTATGAATGGCTTCTGATTTACACTGTTTTAAATGAGGTAAGAGCCCTTTTATCTGTGGTTCTTACCAGACTGATAGGGTAGATTTCTAATGTGTGAAACATCTCTCTCCAATAAATCTGGGTTCATCTGGCAAACATGATGCCTTCAACTTTTTCCTTCCCTCCTTCCTTCCTTCCTTCCTTCCTCCTCCTTACACACATGCTAAATGATATCTTTCATAGTTACTCTCTGCTGAAAGCACTTGACTTTTGCATAATCAGATGATTGAATTGCTTTACAGCTTAACTTTAGCTGGTGGGAAACCAGGTATCCAGGCCAAGCTTGTAGTCCAGGATCCTTCTCCAGTGAATGCAGAGCTTTGGGGTGGTTCATCCCATCCAAAGATAAATGTTTAAAAAATGGGGAGGATTGTTTAGACTCTACTGCCTGGAGACATGAACTAGTTTAAACTAAGACCTAATCTTTTGTCCCGGTTTTGGCTGGGATAGGGTTAAATTTCTTCCTAGTGCTGTGTTTTGGATTTAGTACGAGGAGAATGTTGATAACACACTGATGTTTTCAGTTGTTGCTAAGTACCTTCCTAGTCCAAGGACAGCTCCCATGCCTACTGACTGAGCTAGGTACACAAGATGGGAAGGAACATAATCAGGACAGCCAGCCCAGCTGGCCAATGGGATATTCCATACCATGTGACATCATGCTCAGTATATGAATCGTAGGCGTTGATGCAGGAAGTAGTGATCGCTACTTGGTTATCAGTCAGCGCGGGTGGTGAGCAATTGCATTGTGCATCACTCATTTTGTATATTTTATCATTATTATTATTATTTTCCCTTTTCTGTTCTATTAAACTGTCTTTATCTCAACCCATGAGTTTTTCTCACTCTCATCCTTCTGATTCTCTCCCTGCCCCACCAGCAGGGGGCGTGAGCAAGCGGCTGCGTGGTATTTGGCTGCCTGCCAGGTTAAACCACGACATCTTTACATGGCAAAAAGTTACTAAAATTTTCCTTTCAGAAACAGAATGATACAATACTGAATGGTGAGGAATTGCCCTCTGGTTAAAAAAAAAAAAAAAGAATAAAAAAAAATCGGTGTGTAACACCGAAAAAGAATAAAAAACAATCGGTGTGTAACACCGGGATGAATGCTCTACAGTGAAAAGATGCAGTTGAAGAATCATCTGCCAGTTAGTTAACATGCAAAAATTATGATGCCATCTCTAATGGAGCATATTTAAACCTTGTTTAGCACCCATTTTTCTCTTGCCTTCCTAAGATATTTTTTGGTTAAGTTATAAAGATAAATGAAGTTTTTATGTAGGTGCCACGTTAGTGATGAGAGAGTATGCTGTAATCCTTTGAAGCATCCAACATGATGGACTTATTTAACCAGTAATGTCCTCTTTCGAGAGTTTTCTTGTTAACAGCTTTGCAGACTGAAGCTCTATTTAAATGAATAAACGTTAAAAGAATAAAACTGTCAAAACAATGAATTTCTTTTGCACCAAACTAAAATGTACATTCACACAGTGAAACTCTCCCAAATGAATAACCATTAAAAGAATAATTGTGTCAAAGGAATAAATTTCCTTTGCACTGCACCAAAGCAGAGCATGCACAGTTAGAGGGGGGCATATTGAAATGGGTAACTGTTAAGTGAAGAAAATTATTAAAATAAAACTTTTTTTTGCCAGGAACCGAGGTTATATGTTAGCAACCCTTTCAGCAGCATCACCTTTATATCAGTGTTATATCTTAATTTACTCACTCATAGCCTAAGTTTATTGCCATGCAATTAGTGACTTCCCAATCTTTAAGTTGTTAATTCTCGGCAGTGACACTCATGGAGAGGCACTTGCACCAAATACGCAAGTATGATGACTAAACCTGGCTTCCAGACACAGGATCCATGTGCCTGGGGGACAAGGACATTAGGACCTTTTTTCTTTACTGTTTATCAAAGCTGAGAAATTCAAAAAAATACACCCCCAACTAGTAGCAAAGAGCTCTCTGCTGTGTTAATACATGTCATTTAACAAGAAGATGAGAGAATGTCACCTACGGGAAAATGAATCACTCCTCGGCTTAACACTAGTCCTTAGGATCATAAAATGTGACTATGCTTAGCTTGATCATAAGTCTGTAATTCTGATCAAAGCCTTCTCATTAGCCCCTTTGCCAGCTATCTATTCTCACTTGTCTCCTGGTTTATTCTTAGACTGTAAGCTCTTTGGGATCAAGTCAACTCTTCTTTTTTTTGTTTCTTCAGCCACTGGTAAGGTTGGGAGTTAAAAGCCAGGTCTCTCCATCGTTCTGGTAATGCGAACAACAAATAGTACTAAAAAACTGAAAGACATGATGACTATATGTGGGTCACAGTAAATAATGGGTGTATGATGACACACATTGATGTTGAAACCTCCACTTAAGGCAAACAAACAGAAATCTTGAAAAGACTTTTCCAGGAATTTGATTTGAACAGAAACAGCAGGATTTGTTTCTTATTGTTTTCCATTTTCATGGAAGTACTGTGATATGCTGAAAATGAAAATGAAATTGAAATTAAACACTATTAAAAGTTATCTCCCCTAAACCAAACAAAAAAACCTTTAACATTTTCTCTAAGAGTAGGCACGAAGAACGTAGCCCTCAGCAGCCCTGTGAAGCATGTGACAATATGCTTAAAATATAAATGAAGAAAAAGTGATATGGAAAGGTAAAGCTTATACATGAAGCCACGGCCAACTATTTAATAATTTGAGTGTATCTTATAATTACAAACTAAATATGCATGAAAAGTAGTGGTTTTAGTTTAGGACAAAATGTATGCACAGAACTGATGTTGCTGAGGGCTTTGTGTATGGGAGCAGTGGTTAGAAAGCGCTGAAAAGTGCTGACAATGCCACCTATATATTTTAAATCTGTATTTAAATGTTAAGTTTGGGGAAGCTTTTGGAAGTGGTAGGTAATACCATAGCTATGAAACCATGAATATTTGGGGTAGATGTTAGCTTTCCTTCCAGAGTTCCACGGTGTCCAACATTTTGAAAACTGCTCTGTGCTTTAGGGTGCTTAAGTAAGGTTTATGGTTCAGAGTTTTAAAAATTCTTCTCTCTTCACTCAGCATGTCTGACGGATTTCCTGTTTTTTTTAATGAAAACTCTAGACTGTAAAGATGAGCCCATTCAGAGATTT